TCTTCTTTCCCTGCCTGGCCAGGTGAAACTGGTTTTGTGCTTCTGAGTATTCTTTACCCATTTATTTATTTATTCTTTGTTTTAAACTTTATGACTCCCTCTTTGCTTAGAACCAAAGAGGATGAGGAAGAAGGAGAAGCAGTCTTTCGAGAAGTGGTCAGTTTTACCCGGGCTCCCTTGCCAGGTGAGAAGGCCGAGGCCCTGGATGCTGTCTCCATGCTGGCTCTGGGGCTTCGGGCAGGCGCCTCCCCACCCTCTCATCTCTCTTGGTTGGTGGTGGTCGTCAGAGCCTCCGCACTAAGGCCACCGCTGCGATAATCCCCAATGTCCCCTCCCTGGGACCAGGTAGATACTACGATAAGGACACCAGCACACCTATCAGCTTTTACCTGTCTTCACTGGAGGAACTCCTGGCATGGGCGCCCCTCATGGATGACGGCTTTAATGTGGCCCTGGAGCCCCTGCGGTGTCGTCAGCCCCCGCTGAGCAGCCACAGGCCCCGGACCTTGCTATGCCATGACATGATGGGGGGGTACCTGGACGACAGGTGAGGGCCCCGCCTTACCTGGAGCCTGTTGCTCGGTGGGGTGGGGGCTGGAGAGGGAGGAGAGTGGCGTGTGCTAGAAGTGCACGGGGTGGGGTCAGGAGGTGCTGGAGGACCGGGGAGGAGCGCAGCCGTGAGCACTCTTCTGTCAGAGAGCAGCCCGAGTCAGGTGACGTCCGAGGCCCTCTGGGCGCTGCAGCCACTTCACTTTCCGCATTGCCACAACTCGCGATCTGGAGGGGTGGGGCCGGCTCAGCAAGTCGGCCGTGCCCTCGGACTCGCGGCTGAAGCTCACTGCTTCACTCGGTCTGTTTCCACGACCACCTCTGTGACGCTCGGACTCTGGCCTGGCTTCCTCGCACAGGCCTCTCCGCTCCCCCACTCCCTGCTGTAGCCATCCCATCGCAGAAACCACAGGGTCCCCTGGGAGGTCGCAGACGCCTGTGAACACTCCGGGGTGTGAGGACCGGGAGGCAGGCTCAAGTCGGCCAGCCTCTGAGGTCCACAGGCAGGTGACGAGACGTGGCCACCAGCCCCAGCCCGCAAGTGCAGAGGGAGGGACCGCGGCCCGTCTGGTCAGGCGGTGGAGCCAGACCCTCAGGACAGGCATAGGAGCTCCCTGCGTCACCTTCCTCCTCACCTCTGGCCATTGCTTACGGAGGCCGAGCACGCAGCCCCTCCGGGTCCAGCAGCCGACGCCCGGGCCGTGGTGGGACGTGCTGCTCAGGGCCCCACCCGGCCGTGGAGCTGACGTTCCTCCTGTCCTTTCTCTCCGCTCAGTGCCCAGGCTTCCGGGATGTTGGCCGGGTGAAGAAACGCCTCTCTCCCCGTAAGGCCGCCGGCCTCGTTCCACGTGCCGGGACCTGACTGCTCTGTTTCCCGGCCCAGGTTCATCCAGGGATCCGCGGTGCCGAACCCCTACTGCTTCTACCACTGGCAGTCCATCGACGTCTTCGTGTACTTCAGCCACCGCATGGTCACCATCCCCCCGGTGGGCTGGACCAACACTGCCCACAGACACGGGGTCTGTGTCCTGGGTGAGAGCCGGCCCTGCCAGCGTGCCTGCCGGGTGGCCTGTGGGTGCTTCCGCAAGGAGAGCGTCTCACCTGGGCACTGGTCGGATGGGTTGGGACAGGCCTCTGCACATTTCCCGAAGGGAGCAGGCCAGAACTGTCCTCAGCCATGTGGTCATGCTCGGGAAGGCAGCCTTAGGCTGGGAGCGCTGTCCCTCTAGCGCTGCCTTTCGAAACACAGGTGGAGGCAGGGTCTGGCCCGAGGGCCGTAGCCTGCAGGCGGGTGTGGGAAGACTGACTCCAGCCGTGGCCTGACGCCATGTTTATGGGCTTCAGTAGCTGCCTGGCAGGGTCCCACCCACAGCGTGCATTCCCGGGGTACCTGGCAGGGCTGCCATCCGAGCAGCGGGGTGGGAGGGAAGGCCATGCGGCGTCTGGCCTCATGTCTCTCCTGCCCCCCAGGGACTTTCATCACGGAGTGGAACGAGGGGAAGAGGGTCTGTGAAGCGTTCCTGGCAGGGGACGAGCACTCCTACCAGGCCGTGGCCGACCAGCTGGCCCGGATGGCCCAGTTTTTTGGTTTCGATGGCTGGCTGATCAACATCGAGAACGCTCTGAGTGTGAGCCGGCCTTCCTGGCCCCACTTCCCGCTGCCCTGGTTGCCTTGCAGCTGCCTCCACCTCTCCCTTGGGCTTGGCTAGACACGGGGAGCCGCTTGGCACCTCTGGGGCAGACCCGGCTCTAGAGGCCGGTGGCGATGAGGCGGACCCTGCGCTGCTTCTTGAAGGCAGCTGCCAAGTGCTCTCACCCTCTGCTCTCGGCCGCCACGCCTTGCCCCTCAGATCCCCCTTTCCCGTTAGCATCCTCACAGCCGCCCTCCCCTTAGCTGAGTTCTGATTCTGTCCTCCCTGCTCCAAGAAGAAGGGACAGTCATCGTCTAGTGGGGAGCCCAGCCCCCCGGAGGCCTTGGGGCGCAGGGGCTTTGGGGCCATGGCTTCTGTGTATCTGCATGCCCTCGGTCCCCATCTGTCCTGTGCTGGCAACGGGTCGTGATGGGCCTCACTGAGGGCCTCTTTGCACCCCGTCTCCCAGGCGGCCGCCGTGGGCCACTTGCCGGCTTTCCTCCGGTACCTGACAACCCAGCTGCACCGGCAGGTCCCGGGGGGCCTGGTGCTCTGGTATGACAGCGTGCTACAGAGCGGGCAGCTCAAGTGGCAGGACGAGCTCAATGAGCAGAACAGGTGAGAGCCAGGAGTGCGTGCTGGTTCTGGCTCCGGCTCGCAGCATGGCGAACGCGGGACTGCTTCCGGTGGGGAGGAGCAGGCGGGGTTACCCAGTACCCCGGCAGTCCCTGGACAGGGCCGGCGTCCAGCGGCCGTGCTGTACTGGGGGCTGCAGGTGCACACAGGGCTGGCCCCGCTTTCCTGGGGCAGGCGGGGTTACCCAGTACCCTGGCAGTCCCTGGACAGGGCCGGCGTCCTGCGACCGTGCGCACCAAGAACCGCAGGGTCACATTCTGGGCTGGTCCCTGCCCTCTGGGAGTGGGCTTTGTCCTAGGCCTGGCGGGTGAGCCAAGGTGGCTGGACGCTGGAGGGCAGAGGGCTGGGGTTGCTGGTGGGGCGCATCCTTCTGGACCCAGCCTCACGGAGGTCCTTGTCACCCCTCAGGGTCTTCTTCGATTCCTGCGACGGCTTCTTCACCAACTATAACTGGCAGGAGGAGCACCTGGAGCGGATGCGGGGGCAGGCTGGGGAGCGCCTGGCCGACATCTATGTGGGTGTGGACGTGTTTGCCCGGGGGAACGTGGTCGGGGGCCGCTTCGACACGGACAAGGTGGGTGGCCTACATGCTATTCCAGAGGCCTCATTCCTCCATTCTCATCTGCACCTGGGGGCAAGAGAGCTGGCAGCTCCCCTGCCCAGAGTGGGGAAAGACTCCAGGAAACGTGGGTGGCCTGCCCAGGCCAACCCGAGTCCCTGAAGCCCTCCCGACAGCCGCCTTGACAGTAGGTAGTACCTCCCGTGGGCGCTAGCCGGCAGAAGCCCCGTTCTGACCAGCAGCTGGCCTCACTGCTAGCCAGCCTGGACGCCTCTGGGCCCCGTCCTTTACCCCTGCCGGGTGGCTGTGACAATAGTGGTGCTGCCCGGCGGTGCCGTGGGGTGTGCAGGGCCAGGGACCGAAGTGCAGCCCCGGCTCTGGGAAACACTTGTCTAACGCCTAGTGACACTTCTCTGGCAGGGCAAGTCAAAAGGACAATGAGGAAGGAGCGGAGTTGGGGGCCTCCTGTGGGTCCTCCTGGGCCTCCCATGTTCTCAGTCCTGAGGCTTCAACTGGGTACATTCACCAGTAGCTGAAGACTCTTTACCCCATTACTCTGACGATGGTGCGAGGGGTACGTGAGGCAGAGACAGTGACAGTGAGACCAGCACTCCCAGTGCCCTCACTGGGGAAGTGCCCCACCTGCCTTCCTCCTGGCCAGCCCTCGGAGCCGCGGGGCTAGGAGCGAGGGGTGAGGGCGCTGAGCCTCCTTCCCATCCTGGCGCAGGCACTGCTGGCTCACTGGCCGCCGTGCCCAGCGAGGCTGACGGGGACACACCCCTACTGCTGTCTCCTCAGTCGCTGGAGCTGATCCGGAAGCATGGCTTCTCCGTGGCTCTCTTTGCTCCCGGCTGGGTGTACGAGTGTTTGGAGAAAAGGGATTTCTTCAAGAACCAGGATAAGTGAGTCCTACCATCCTAGGGTTTGGGGTGGTCTGTGGGAGGGGCGGGGTCTCCATGGCTCCTCTGGGTCTAGCTATCCAGGACCCTCCCCACCCAGGGGGGTCACGGGGGGTTGCTCATGAGAGGAGAGTCCAGGAATTCAGCCACCTTGGCTGCTTCCAGCGAGGGGCCCCTGTCAAGGATCCTAGGGGACCCTCCCACAGCCACGCCTCCCTGGCATGGCCATGGTGGGACGAGGAGCCCAGCCACCAAAGGCCTGTCCTGGCGGCCAGGGGCGAGCCTTGAGTAAAGGGGCGTGGCGAGGCCGGTCACGCTGGGTGGCACCCTCCCCACCCTCCGCCACCTCCCCACGGCCCCTGTAGGTTCTGGAGCCTGCTGGAGCGCTACCTGGCCCCCCATAGCACCTGCTCTTTGCCTTTCGTCACCTCTTTCTGCCTGGGCATGGGCACACGGAGAGTCTGCTACGGCCAGGTGTGTAGCGCCCACGGGCCCAGGGTGGGAAGGCACAGAGATGTGGCCAAGGGGCCGCCTCCTCTCTGTGCCACCCTCCGGCCGCACTGGGACAGGCAGCAGGTGGGGGCAGGCATGAGGTGGCTCTCCCTCGCCAGCACAAACCCGTCACCTGTCACGTCCTGCTCCCCCTGCCCTGGTGGGCTCCACTGAGACCCCCATGCTGCCCTCTCGCCCAGGAGGAGGCGGTGGGGCCCTGGTACCACCTGAGCGCCCAGGATATCCAGCCCCTGTTTGGAGAGCACCGGCTGGGAGGGGACGGACAGGGCTGGGTGAAGACGCACTGCTGCCTGGCGGACGCCTGGCACGGGGGCAGCTCGCTGCTGCTGCGGGGCGTGATCCCCCCCGAGGTTGGAAACGTGGCCGTGAGGTGGGTGAGCGGTGGCCCATCCCCAGCTGGGCAGGTGGGCAGCAAGGACAGGGCAGACCTGTGTTGCCTTTGTTTTGTTTTTTTTGGGGGGAGAGGTTTTTGCTATAGGGCGCATGCGCTCGCCAGAAAGACAGAGAGAGACAGAGACAGAAAGCGAGAAATCACTCCCCAGGGGAGATGGCCACGCCGCAATCCCTTCTCCTCCATTCTCCTCTCGGGATCTTGGCACACACGCACACGTGCCCGATGTGAGTTTAAGCCACCGGGTCCGGGACTCAGACTGGTCAACTACATGGGGGTCCAGCGACATAGCCATTATGCCAACTGCTGGTCCCCCTGTATCGTTTTGTTAATTGTGGTCAAAAACACATCCCAAACGTCCCATCTTAACCGCTGTTGGGCATGTGTTAATGCGGTCACGATTTGCTGAACAAGGACGCCTTCTGAGAGGCGTGCTGTCGCTGTGCAGACATTGGGTGTCCTCACACGAACCCTAAGTGGGCTAGCCTGCTACATTCTCAGACTGCGTGGACAGCCCGTCGCTCCCTAGCAGGCTACTGTCATGGTGCGGCCTGTTGCCACGCGGTGCGTGATTGTACAGGCACCCCGTCGTGTCGCCGGTCTTAGAATCGTGTAGCAGGTCTTAGAATTTTGGCAACGTGCAAGATGGAAACTTTGCACCCGCTGGATGGCTCCGCACCCCTCCCCAGCCCTTGGAATCCGCCTTCGGCTTTTCCATAGCCTTGTTGGCGACCACCTGAAAGCCCTGAGATGCATAGAACCCTGTGATCCTTCAGAACCCACGAGAGTATCTGGCCTTGGGGAGGCCTATCCCCCAGCCCCGGGCAGGCCGGGCTGCAGTGGGAAGGTCGCCCCAGCTTCTCTGCGGTCTCTCCCCGGCTGCTCATCGCGGGCTCTTCTTCCTTCAGGCTGTTTTCTCTGCAAGTCCCGCTGCCCCCCAGAATCTTCCTGTCCATGGTCTATAAGTTCGAAGGGCCCACGGACGTCGGGGTTGGTTTGGAGCTCACCACAGGGGATGCCGGCAGCTGTCACGTCGGTGGCATCTCAGTGTTAAGCGGTGAGGACTAGGGGAGAGCTCAGGAGGCTGGAAGCCCTCGGGGTGTGGGGCAGAGCTGGACCGGGCAGTGTCAGGTGGGTCCTTCCTGTCTGGAGCCAGGGCATCCTGGGGTCAGGGAGGGTCACGTCCCACCTGAGCCCGAACTCTGCCACGGGACCTCGGTGGGCAGTGGCTTTGAGAGGAGGCTGTGCAGGCTCGCGGTGGCCTCCTGCTGGCTGTGGCTTTGAGAGGAGCATGTGAATGGGGACGCCAGGGCAACTGGGAGAAGGCAGGATGAGGGAAGTACCAGGCTGCTCCCATGTACCTCCTCCTGGGGTGTCTGTGCTGGTGACCCCCAGGGATACCTGCAGGAGGTCACACTGGGACCTCTGACCTCCTCCGCCGAGCAGACCTCTTGACCACTCCCCACGCGCTTCCCTTGGGATTCTTTCTCAAGTCCTGTGTCTCTTCCTTCAGCAGACACTGGCTCAAGGCACAGACCCCAGCCCCTCCGTGTGCCCCCCACCAAGCTGGCCAGGTGGGTGGGTCGCTGTGGCCAGATGCTCAGCGGGGGCTGGGTCCAGCGGTGAGTCTCCTTGCTTCCTATCTGGTCCCCAGTGGGGGTGGCCACACAGCAGGGGTGGGGGAGCTTAGGCAGGAGGGTGCCCCACGGAGAAGCCCAGCGTTGAGGGATGGAGGTTGGAGCACTCAGGGTCCTTGTAGGGACCAGCCCGAGGCCCAGAACTCACTGACGGGGACTCCCAGGGTTGGAGCTCCCTTCTGCCGGGCGTGGGCCTGTGGCATGTGACCCACCCGTGGCCTCCCTAGCTGCTATGAGGTGAGCCTGCGGGGGTGCCTCCTGCTAGACCTCCTCGTCAGCTTCTCGCGGCCTCCAGGCAGCCAGGAGGAGAAGAGTTTCGTCTGTCGCCTTGGAGAGATCCAGGTGACGTGGGTGGCGGGGGTCAGGCTGGGATGTCCCTCCCTTGGAGAGGAGGTGGAGGCTGCACGGGGAGGGGGAGTGGGGCAGGAACCCCTGCTCCTCTGGGCAGGGAGGGAGGCACCCTTCCAGCCGGGCTGAGCCTTCTCTCTTGCCAGGTGGTGGGTGCCGACAGCCTGCTGGCCCCTCTGCCCCAGGTGCAGGCCGTCACCGTCTCTCTGGTCCACTGGCGGCGGGCAGGCTCTGAGCCGGAGGGCCGCCCTGCTCCGCTGCAACTGAGCTGTTCTCTGCACTGGTCCTACCCGCTCCCCGAGGTCCGCTGCTTCCGCGTCCACTGCCGGGGAAGGGCTGGAGTCGCGTCTCCCCTGCCAGCGCTCGAGGAGCCCGTGTTCCTTGGCCTGGCTTTTGCCAACCAGTACCGGGTAGTGGACCTGGCAGTGGAAGCCCCAGGACCTGGCCAGGATGGCCGTGTGCAGTTCCTGGTGGAGCCCGTCCCCAAGGAAGGGTTTCTGGTACCAGCAGCCGAGTGGGGCAGGGCCACGCTGCTGTACTCTGGCCCCGAGTGAGTGGACATCGAAGCTCTACAGTCTCCTGGCCTCTCCTTCCTCCTGGCCCTCGACCCGGGTCTGCGCTGGGACCTCCACTAAGCATGAGTGGTGGTGGCAAGACCCCGGTGCGAGGGCTGTGCCCAAGACCAGGTCCCTGACCTCCAGTCCTAGGACTGTGGCTCTTGGTGGGGACATTGAAACAGGAAACTAAGAGTGGTCACTCCCAAGCACAGAGAAGAGCCTTTGTTTTGCCAAATCTCTCTCCACAATGTATAGTTCCCTGGTAGAATGAAAGGATTTGGGGGAGTTTAGTCCAGAAAATTCCATAAAGGGTATTTCCAAATCAGCGGCCAGATGTCCCTGCCAAGGACGGCGACCTTTTATTCTTGCAATTGCTCAGTCAGAAGCAAGCTTGTCCCGGGCTTTGGTGGGTTTGAGAGCTTCATCTGAGGGTGAGGACTATCCCCTCGCCCTCAGGAGTGGGAGCCGAGGGCCAGGCCAGCACTGCCCCACTGCAGCCAAGGTGTTCCCCAGCTTTGGTGACGGTCTGCCCTGGGGCCTGCCACCTGGAGCACTCTCTCCAGCCCCTGGATCTGGTGCGTCTGCTGAGCTGCAGGTACTTGGCCAGGCCTGCAGTAAGGCCTGCCCTCTTGGGCACCTCTGCCCAGGGAGGGTGGCCGAGGATCGGGCAGCAGGTGGGGCCGGCAGGGCGCCTGGCCCAGGGAGAGAGGTGCTGTGCTCTGGGCCAGCCTGCACAGCCACCCTTCTTGGCCTTCTTCAAGCACTCGGAGACCCAGACGAGGCAGCCCCTGGAGGAGGCTGTGCAAGTGCAGGCTGCACCTGTGCTGGAGGCAGCCTGAGGCAGAGGGGTAGCGGGCCACTGCAGTAAAGGGAGCGGCCACCAGATGGCAGTACTGTCGTGGCTGCTGCCTTCTGAGCACCTGTAGGTGCCGAGAATGGGCTGGGTTCCTGGTGGGCATGGCCCCACCTCTTAAGGGCTGAAATCCACCTCTCCCCACCTCCCTGCCTTCTGTGGCACTTACATTCCTTTTCCACCCGCTGAGCCGCTCCACAGGGCTGGAGGCCCAGGGCTGGGGTTCCACGTCAGGGTTGGCTAGCCAGTGCTTAGAGAGGTTTGCTGAGGATTTCGGTGGGGGATTACTGTGCCACAGACTCACAGAGGCTGCCCAGCTCCCGGGTTGTCCTGGGTTCCTCTGGGCGAGGAGGGGGCTGAGTGGGGGTGGGCATACGTGAGCTGCTGCCCTGGTACCCCTACTTTGTTCTTTCGGTTCTTAGGGTTCCTCAGCTCTGAGCCTCTCCCCATGTCTGAACCGGGGTGGGGGGTGGGGTGGGGGGGCGGTGAGGGCCCCTCCTGGCCACTCACCGTGTCCCCAGGGGTGCGAGGCTGCGGGCGGCAGCCTCGTCTCGCTTCCCTTACTTCATGAAGTCTCCCACTTTCCCCTTTAGGTGCCGGCTCCCCGAGTGTTTTATGCAGAGGAGGGAAATTTATAGTGACAATTATTTTCTCACAGTCTGGTGAGCAAGCAATTAGAAGTAGGGGCTTAGTGGAGCATGGCGTGTGGCAGAATCACACACCCCAGCTCCCCAAGAGCCTGGTCCCCAGCCCTACCAACGGCTCACAGGCAGGAAAATTAATATGCCGGCATTCAAGCCGGTGCCCCTCTGGCGGGTGTAATCGCTCTGAAATAAATTATCCGACGTTGTGAAAAATGAACTCACGTCTTGGCGAGAGGTGGTGCGGCTCAGGGCCCCAGCCCTCCCCCAGCCCCCAGCCCCCAGGCTTCTAGATGTCTCGTTTGGGGAATCCACAGCTGTTTTGCCCCGCCCCCAACTCCCTCCTGCCCCTACCCTGCCCACCCCAGGAGTGGGGACCCCAGTGGGCGGGAGGGAACACTGCCTGGCTGACCGAAGGCTGACCATGGTGCAGGGCCCAGGGTTCTGCATCCCCAGCTCCTGGCGCTCCTGCACTGGTAGACCTGGCACGGCTGCGGACACCCAGGTTAACCTTTCCCCTCCCGGGAGGTCATGCAGTGTTCGGTGGTGCTGGCAGGCCGGGACACAGGGACCTAGGCTGGCCTCCACGTGGGAACCGCAGGGGAGAAAGGCTGCAGCTGTCTGGGGCGAGTGCAGAGGGTGTCTGGGGGAGCGCCAGACTGCAATCTTGGGCCTAGACGAGTCTCTGGCTCCCCGTTGCCACCTGGCTTCAGGCTTAGGCAGGGCTGTGCCCCACCAAGGGCTGCCTGTCCTGAGCCCAACCCCTCAGTCCTCTGTCCCCACCCCTGTCCAGCAGTTGCCATATGAAAAGGAGCTGTCCTGCTTTGAAGAAAGAAATCTTTATTAATAACCTTAATAATAATAGTAGTCTGAATGGTCACAACCTGGAAGCATACGGGATGGTAAGAAAGGAAGCCTGGACCCCGCTGCAGTCCTGGGGAGGGCGGGCGGGGGGCCGCGCTGCTGCGAGAAACGGTCCGGAACGCGCAGGCGCGGGGGCTCTGTACAGAGGGCGCCGGCGCGGCGGGGCTATGTACAACAGGAATAGAAAAGGAGAATTCCATTTCGACGCTTCAGAGCTGATGCTGAATACAAAGTGAGGTGTAGTTTTTATTTTAAAGTTTCATGAGACGGTGGAGCCTGTGCCTTGTCCTCACTGCCTCCCCTACTCCAGCCTTCTCTGCTTCGCCCGGGGCGGGGGTTCTCCCTGTTACGCTGTCCACCGCCCACCCTGGGCCAGCGGCTGCCCTGCGAGTCCTCCTTCCCCACCGCACGGCTGCAGGGAGCAGGGCCCATCCGGCCTCCCCCAGCCTGGCTCCCCCCTGGGCCCTGCTCTGGCTGTGCCGTCCAGGCTCCCGACCACGCGGTGCGGGAGGCACTGGCCCGGCCGGGCCCCTCTGCTCCACGCAGCTCTGGGCTCTGCAGGGAGCGGCGGGGAGGGCTGGGTCCCAGCTGGCAGCACGTTGTAGTCCTTCACCTCCACGGGCCAGGGGCTCTTCCAGGGGAAAGCCAGGTGGCCAGCAAGAGCCCGTCCTGCCCCGAGAACCCCCGAGGCTGCGCCTGCGGCTGGCTGGGCTCCACTGTGCAGCCGAGCGTCTCCTGGGGAGGAGGGCGGGACGCCCCGGAGTGCTGGAATCACATCAGCCCTTTTCGTCAGCTCGGCCCCCAGGGCTGCTGGCGGGCGGCCTCCTCACCAGGCGGAGGGCACGGATGGAGCTGCAGGGTAGGAGCAGACGGGCCCAAGCTGGAGCCCAGGAATGGGAAGCCGCCACCGGCACAGGTGGCTTAAAGATCGAGTCCTGTTCGCCGCCTTCCCTGCTCGGCCCCGGGCCTGCCCCGCCGCCGAGCCCACCCTCGCCTAGAGCGGGGGCCGGGAAAGGAAGGCCAGAGAGAAAACGGAGGCCCCACTGGCCACACAAGCGGCCCCCTCCCCTCCAACTTCGTCCCACTGCGCCCGGCGGAGAGCGGCGCTGCCCCACAGCGCCACCAGGTGGCCAGGAGCGAGAGGCGCGTGGGGCCGTCTGGTCGCGGGGCCGCTCTCCACGGGCGCCCCCTGCCGACGTGCTCCCTCGGTGCGGGCGTGCGGCCAGTGCGCAGGACCGATTCGGTCGGATGCCTCTTGGTTTGGTTGTTTTTTTGTTGCTTGGATCTTAACATCTTTTTTTTTTTGTTTGTTTTTGTTTTGTGATTTTTTTGTTTGTTTTTTGTTTTTGTTTTTGCCCTTCATGGTCCGAGAAGGAAACGGTGGAAGGTTTCACTGCAACAGAAACAGAAAGGCAGGACTTGCAGTTTCCCAGCAGAGCCAGGCCTGAAGGAGGGCCCTGGCCTGGGGGCTAGCACCCCCGAACCTGGCTCCCAGCTCCAGTACCGCCAGCTCCCCAAGGCTAGTTTTCAAGCAGAACCCCATCTTCCAGGGCTGTGTGTGTCTGGCCCTGGGGGTGGGCAGAAGTAGGGGAGCCAGGGCGGGGCCTGGGGAGGCCTGGCACAGCGGAGGGCCCCCAGTAGCCAGGCTGGGAGGGGCTATGCTGCCTCGCTGCCTCTTCAGTTGATGCGGCTAGCTTGGGAGGTGGGCCCCAAGAATGCCCTCCCCTGACGGTGCTCAAGGACGACATCCCTGAGCTAGGGGACCGGAGGGCACAGTGCCAGGCTGGCCTGCTCCTCCTCCTGGGTACTCAGGTGCCCCTGCAGGCTGGGCTGGGCAGGCCAGGGCAGGGCCACCGCTAGGTCTCAGGTGGGGGATCTCTTTCCACCTTTCCACGTCTCACAACAGCACCTAAGAGCCTCCAAGACGGTGTGACCATGTGGCCTGCACACCACACAGGGGCTCAAGCGCCGTCAGCCAAACTTAATTAGGGACATTAGCTGCAGCTGAATGGGGCGTGGACGCAGAGGGGCCGCCCCGTGATTAGCTGTGTGAGGTCAGACAGGGCTGGGGAGACACACTGATGGGAGCCTAGGGCCCCTCCGTCCCCACAGCAGGGCCTTGGGCTGTGATCAGGGCTGGCTGTGGTGGCTTCCAGGCCGCCTGGCCAGGCGTTTCCGTAGCTCTGTATGGAGCCTGAGTCACCATCGAGTGTGGGTGTCGCCCTGGCAGGGTGGCACTACTGCTAGCCCCGGGGGAGGGCTGCTGTCCTCCTGCCCAGCCTGGCCCCCCACTAGGTGCATACTGTACCTGAGACGGCTCGGGCAGAACATCAACAAGTCAAAATAGGAAACCCAGGTCCCAGACATGCGAGAAAGCCCAGGGCCAGACACACACGCCACCGGGGGGGCTTGCTGAGTGGGAAGTCTGCGGATGTTAGGGTCACAGAGGGCCAGCAGAGCGAGTCGCTGACCGGGAGGGGCACACTGTCTTCCCGCGGCCGTGCCTGGTGTGGGGCTGTGGGGAGTTTGGGGGTGCATCAGAGTGAATGCTGTGAGGGGCTGGGTCTCCTGCTAGTACGGGGTGAAGCGGCTGTGCCCTCCTCGGCAGAGGCTAGCCTGCAACATCAAAGATGAAAAACAGCCAATCAGTACTGTCTTTTGGTAGGAGTGGAAAAAGAAAAAAGCAAAAAAAAAGTAAGGAAAAACAAAAAGAGAAGCGCTAAACCCGTTGTCTCTCCCCAGACAGGATTCCTTGGGGAGAATGGGTGTAAGGCTGTCCTGACAAGGGGAGGGCATGGGCCTGTTTCTGCTGTGGGGTCCCGAGGCCAGGAGGGGGCGCTCGCGCCCCCCAGCCAGTAGTGCTCCTAGGCCGCTTCTCTGGGTCACAGCCGGCCCCTTTAGGGCCCCTGTCCTTAGGCAGAGGGAGGTCCACGCAGCACCTGCTCAGCCCCTTGTGGGCTGCATAGCACAGGGGCAGGGTCCTTGGGCCACAGCTGCAGAGCCTGGGGCTGCTGAAGCCGGTTCCAGCAGGGCCACACTGCCAGGCTCGCTTCCAAGGGGCTTTCTCCCTGGGGCCCTTCTGGGCCCAACTTGGGCCTGGCCCCGGGTCCTGACCGGAAGGGCAAGTCTGGGGGCTTTTCTCCCAGGGCACTGGGCTGCCCAGGGCGAGGAGGGCTTCACTGGCACCTCCCACCTGCCCACCAGTTTCACTAGCAAAGGGAGGAAAAACGGCAAGTGCCAGGGAAAAAAATCGGGAAAAACAGAAAATCTTAAAAATAAAAAACTGTTCTGCAAACACGAGCAGACACCTCTGTGGATTAATAAATGCTCCTAGCCAGGAGGTGCTCTGAGGGCCGGCCGTCCTGGGAGCCAGGGCCTCCTGCTCCCCACGGTCATAGGCTGCTCAGGTGCCTTGGGGCGGGGGGTTTGGGGGGGGGGCTTAAAAACCAAAAAGACGAAACACAAACTGGGAGGGAGTGATCAAAGCTGGGAGAGGCGAGCCTTCTCCACTCACTCCCTGCTGTTTCCATCTTTGATGTTGGAGCTAGCTGAGGCCCAGCACGAGGCCGGGAGGTGCCAGTGGCATGGGAGCAGGTCGGGAAGTGTGAGCTGGGCTGTTTGTGTGGGCAGCTGGCCACACACACACACACACACACACACACACACACACAGAGACATGGGCCTCAGCCAGGAAACCAGGAGGGCCCTCCTGGCCCTGCTCGCTCCACCCTGCAGCCCTGGGGGAGGCTGAGTAGAAGGGGCACCATTCCCCGGGGTGAGAGGCAGCAGGGTTCCTCTGCCTCCAGCCCTCATCCTCTTCCCATGTGAGAGGCGGTGCGGGGGGCGGAGGTGATAGGGCACTGGCCACACGGGGTGCCAGAAGGAACTGGGGCCGTGGGCGCAGACCTGCCCTTGTCCTCGGCCTCGGCGGCCTCGGCAGGAAGGAGGGCCCTGCTCTGGTCTCCCTGGTGTTCCTGGTGTGGGAATGGAGGGGCTGAGCAGGGCTTTGGCTATAGGTTCAGGAAACTTCTTGGGTCATGCCAGGACGCTTTCCTGAGGCCCAGAGATAACTGGTGGGTTGGCGAATGTCTGGATAGAACCCCCCACCTGAGAGATAGCAAGGGGCTAGGCTTCCCCCACCCCAACTCAAATCCAGGCCACCGGCCCCGGGCGCCAGCCTCGGCCTGTCTCCTAAAGGCCCACCCTGCCTTGCCTTGCCTCGCCCAACGCTGGGCCTATCATGCTGGGCACCAGAACAGGCAGGCCCACCTCCTTACCATGGTTCCAATGCTGTAGGTTGCCGCAGGGCCGATGGTGTGATGGTAGGGGTCAGCGGCCGCATAGACTCTGCCGTAACTGCGGAAGAGGGGGGCAGTGTGGCAGGTGAAGGGGTGCAGCAGGCCTCCTGCCCCTCCAGACTGTGCTTGGCACCCCCGGGCCTCTCCCAGTCACAGGGTCCCTCCCTCCCCAACTTGGAAGGAAGCTTCTGGAATGCAGCAGGCCACACTCCCAATCCAGCCAGTGGGGGGCAGAGCCCAGCTATGGGCCACAGGAGGTTAAAAGGCCTCCTCCTGAAGCTTGCTGGGAGGCACGGCCACCGTGGTCCCCAGGGAGAGCAGAGGCAAGGCTGGGGACAGCAGCTGACCGGGGACAGTGGTGCCGCGACACCTGCACCTGCCCCTGCCCTGTCGCCCAGCTGCTCAGAGGGCAGGCTGGCCTCCAGGTTAGGGTCTGGGTCACGCGCACCCAGAGTGGGTGCAGCAGAGGCCGTAAAGAGGTGTGATGGAGGGTCCCACCTGCCACTGGGGGAAGGGACAGGCCCTGAGGACAAGAGGGACAGCTGCCCTTGAGCAGGGGCCTGACACAGGGGCTCGAACACTCCCCTGCCGTGGCCCCAAGCAGGAACTCTCCTGCCAACCAGCCAAGTCCTGAGGGACGGCACCCACTGGGGAGGCTTGAGGACAGCTCCCCGAAACAGAGCCACCCATAGGCCTCTTGGGGTGCTCCCAGCTGGGCAGGGGTATACTACCCACCCTCCAGAGGGGCGAACCGGGCTCCCCTGCTTTCCCTCCTGAGGCCTGGAAGGGCGGCCAGGCACCAGGGGCCCTTTGGACCTCCACCTGGACCTGGGGAGGGTCAGGAGATGCCAGACCTGGGGGCCCTGTACTTGATTCTAGGCCGGGAATCAAGAGATGCCTGTCTGCTCTGAAAACTGGGGTGTCCATACCCTCCCGTTACATGGAGAAAGTGAACAAAGTAGGGGGCTTGCTGCTGTGAGGGTTCCCAAGCCACTCATGGGCCTGCTGTCCTGTGTAGGTGCAGGACCCTGACCCTCAGCGGTGGGTGAGGCTTCCCACCTGCCTGGGCCCAGGTAGGGCCATGGGTGTGATGGTAGGGGTCAGTGGCCGCAGACTTCTCGCCTCTGTGCCAGAGCAGCTTTCGCTCCCAGCCTCATGTGTCCCCTGGCCTCACCTGTCCCCGGCCTCACCTGGCCCTGGCCTCACCTGGCCCCAGCCTCACCTGTCACTGTAGGCCGCTGCTGCTGGCTGAGCGTATCTGTAGGCTGCGTAGCCTCCCTGTGGGGTAGGGGGAGGGAAAGATGCAGATGGACTTAGTGGGGCTCACAGGGAGAGAGGGAGCCCATGCAGACCCTGCAGGGCTGCGGCTCTGGGGGCACTCAGGCCTTCCCAGTCCTTCCTTTGAACCTTCCCCTGATCTGGCGAGGGCTAGGAGGTGCCTGGCCTGGGTGGCTGGCTCCTACCCGCAGGAACTCTGAGGACACCAGCGGGGCTCCGGCGGGGCAGGGCTGTGTGCTTGCTCGCTCGTTTGCCCGCCACCCATCTGTACATTCACCACGGACGCCCGGGAACTGACTCGACGCCCTGCTTGGCCTTGGCACACAGCAGGAACCGCACACCTGCACCAGGCCAGCAGCTCCTGAGGGGCGCTGATGGGCACAAGGGCCCAGGCCAGCATTAACTCTCATGGTGACTGCCCAGGACGGCAGTGCAGCCAGGTGTGTGGGGGCAGGCTGTCAGCCAGAGCTCCAAGCAGTAGGGGGGCCCACATAGGGACAGAGAGGTGACGAGGCCCCATCAGGGAGGCGTGGGCCTAGCAGCACGGCTCCCTGGGTCCCCTGCATCCTGGTCTCTCTCGGGACCCTACTGGACACAGGGCCTCTGGGGCTCGCTCACTGCCCCATCACACACCAGCTTGCGGGGCTCAGGTCACTGTGTCTCCCTCAGTGAGCCAGCCAGCTGGCTGGGCGGAGGCAGGACCCCAGGGGGCCTTGCACCCCGCCTCCTGGGCTCCTTGGGAGACTTGGGATGGGTGGGCCAGAGGGGCAGTGAGCAGGGCAACCCCCACTTCTCATGGACACCAGAACACCTGCTTCCACCCTCCCCAGGGCTGCACTTACATAAATCTCAGCGCCATAAAATCCATCCTGATACACGACCCTGGAAGCAAACGGACAAGAAAGTGGTGGGAACGCTGCGGAGGTGGGGTAGGCCGGCTCCGGAGTCTGCTGAGGGAGGGGGCACGGGGCCAGCCCCGCCCACGGGACTGGCATTTTAACAAGCGTTTGCTCCAGTGCCCTGTTTTGGTATAACAATAGAGTAACACCCTCGCTGTCAGCTCCTTTCTCCCACGAACCCAGGGGCCCGGGGCCTGCCCGGCACCCTCCTCCCCCCCCACCCCGGCTTCCCCCTTCCAGGGATGGGTAGGCGCCGCGCAGGGCTTAGAGAAGCCCCTCCCCAGTGGAGGGCCAACGATTGCACGGGACAAGCCCGCTCGGAACGTCCCGCCCGAGCTCCCGGACGGGCGGAGCGCTGCGTGTGGGCGCTCCCCCACCCCACCCTCAGCTCCAAAAAGGCCGCCTGCCCTTCCCTCGGCACAGGGCACGACTCCCTGCCACGCCCCCTGGGCCTACTCCACAGCCCCTCCAAGTACTCACGCTCCGTAAGTCGGGATGGGCGGCGGGGGCGGCGCGGCCCGAAACGTGTTGTACACGGCCCGGCCCCGGCCTCGGAGGTGCGCGCCCCGGTAGGCGACGGCCGTGCCCGTTGTGGGGTAGGGGAACCCCGTCACTGCAGGAAAGGGGCGCCAAGAGAAGAGTGTGAGAAAAAGGCGGAGGGGGCGGGGCTCGAGCGAACAACC